TGCTTGTTAATGTGGATAGGATGGAGGAGAGGAATTTATTGTGGCTGGCAGACAACATATTGAAAGTAACTTTTAAGAATACGCTAAATAGTATACTCAGTTATATTTAGGTCAGGATAGTTTTTATTAAGTTTAATAACTATTTTAGTAGTGGTGATGGAATTATTGTTTTTTATAAGCTGACCAAGATAATGACATTTTTGAACATCTAAAACTCTCAACCTGCCAGGAACAGGAAGTAGGATAAGGGTGCCTCTTTTTTTAAGTCGATTTACATAATTGTATATCGTGGATCTAAGAAAACCAGTTATTTTTAAAATTTCTGCAGGTTTCGTGATACTGTTAGACCAAAGCTGGCTTATGGTTATTCTTTGTGTGGTGGGATCAGTGTTGCACGGCATTTTTGATGGATAGTATTAACTAGACAGCAAAAAAAAATATTATATTTATACAAACTTATTTATACAAACTTATTTATACATTTATGTGACACAATCATACAAAATTAGATCAAAATTTAATGAAAAAAAAAAGCAATGGTAACATGTTTTATGTGACAAATTGAAAATCCAGATATTTTTGTCATTTACTGTATTTATTAAAATCGAGTTTGTCTATAACCACTATTGGCAGGAAACTAATATGAAGCATAACTACATATAAAAATGGGTCTCTAAATTAAAGGTGAGGATATAATTCAAATGTTCTTTACTATTAAAAAAGTTTTTTTTTAAATATAAGATTAAAAAAAACTAACTAAAAAGGTTTTTTGCAATTTAGGCCACTTGATCCAAATGTTTTTTGAATTATGTTCCTATTAAAGTAATGAATAAATAATTATGTCTCTTCAAAAGAAACATAATTAATCTGTAAAATTTTATATGCTAAATAGTTTAGAGATCCATTCTTAACTATATAACTATATTTTGGCACGTCATATATTTTTATTTACAATAATTACTGACTTATAGTCTATAGTAACATGTAAAAACATAATATAATTTTAAAGAAGCTTAAATTTGCTATAACCTTAAATAACTTATTAATTACATATAATCTATTATAGTTTTAATAGGAATTGTATAACATGATAATAGCTTAGAGATAATCTATTTGCTTATATAAAAGAAAGAAAAAATAAACAATAGATAGAAAAGAATAGTAGTAGCAAAATATATAATAATAATAATAATTGTTCTTTAAATTAAAAACTTTTTAATTAGGACATGTAATTACTGTTGCCTAACTGTATAAATTCTAATTAACTTTCTAATCTAGTATTTATTGTAAATAAAACAATTGAAATCATAAAGAAAAAGTGATAAAGATTCATTAACATTAGTTAAAATTTGATTATTTAGCAATATGTCACTTGTCAATTATTCAGCATATGATAAATAATTTGTCAAGCATTTGTCAGCAATTTGGCAATTATTGTTGAATTGAATATACTGAATTATTGCCAAATGTTTGACAAATACTTACAAATTATTTATTATACAATATATTGAATAATTGATAAGTGGCATATTGCAGAATAATTAGATTTTAACTAGTATAAAAAAAGTATACAATAGAAAGAAAAAGAAAAAATTAGTAGAACTTGGCTAAACAAATCACATGTCTCAAGTAGAGAAGCCAAAAACTTACTTGACATTATATAAAACTTGCTCTGAAGAAATAATAGACTTGTTGAAAGAGATATCAACACTACACATTATTGTGTTAATCTATATTCTATATGAAATACTATAGAATTGAGTTTATCTTTTTCAGTAATAGTAATAAACTTATTTGAATACTTATTAAGCTGAATAACTTTCTACTCTAATTGTATTTCTCATTGCTTCCTGGTTTGATATCTGGATAGATATGATATCTGTTAAGAATATACTTTATTGTTAGCTTTTAATTTATCATTTGCTAATAAGTTAAATAATATTTGGAATCATTTTTCATGAATTTAATAATTTCTGAAGATTTAGATTTATCATTTATAAACTCTATTTGACTTTTGAAAATAGAGATATATTAGTAGACTTGAATTATAAAGCAATTGAAAATTTTGATTGATTTAATATATAGTTGAAAAGGACTTGAGTTTTATTAGTAATGGATATGGCAGATAATATATAATGTAAAATATTAAAGCTTTGCTCCTTCTTACCTTTTTTAATATAATTTGTGGTTAATAATTCAATTATATTTTTTTTTGGTTCAGGAGGTACTATTTCTGGAACATTGAATATAAAGATATCTGTGAAAGTATTACCAAATATCTCAGGTTAAGACATGTCTGAAAATTTCTTGGTATTGATATCCAATTCACATAGTTTACTTACAATTTTGAATCAATCAAGAATATAGACCCAATCTTTTTTTTTATTGATTCATGCTTGCTTGCATTTCATACTAATTATTGTAAGGTTTTTTTAAATTTTTTGTTAATAAATGGATTTTTACCATTTCTTTTACATTGAATATAGTATTTCTGATATAAATTTGCACAGATTGAATTCTTAGTTCTATTTTCAGACCAAGATGAAATATGATTAATTTAAATATATATATAATAATTTGATAAAATTAACTTAAAACTTTATTAATATTGTTGGTTTTATTTATATGCTTTTTATATATACAATATATTTTCTTATATTTTTGAAATTCTTTTAATTTAAGTTTTATTTCTTCTAATTTTAATATTTCAAAAATCTTAAATATATTTCTATTTTTTCATAAATTCAATTATGATATAATTGAATCAAGGCATTATTTATGCCACTATATTACTTTCTTGTTATTTACAATATATAACATTAATAATATTGCTATTTATTATCTTTAAAATATTTTATTATTTAATTTTTATTTTATATAACTATTTTTATCAAAGTGTTTATTTGTGCATATTTTAAATATATTGGTTGTTTCAATAAAGATACCTATTTAATTATAATTACAAATTTAATATAGTCTATTACACAAATATATATTGTTTCTACTTGAAATAAATAACCCATTTTTTTAAAAAAAATTTTAATTTTAATTTTAATTTATTTTTGTAATATATACAGTATATATAATATGTATAAGATTGGACGTTATATCATGAAAATAATTAATATATTATGCCTACCTAGTTTATGAGTACTGATTAAATTTGAGAAATGATGTTTCTACACAATGCTTAAATTTTTATTCTACTATACTCAGATTGTAAGATTGTTTACGAAAAATACCCTAAAGATATGTTATTGTTTAATTAAGATTCTTACTGTCTATAATATATAATCTGTAAATTCAATATAATAAAAATATATTGTTTTGAATATGTTTGTACACGCAAATTTCCAGACTATTATTATTTTATCGTTCTCGGATAATTCTGCCATTCAGTAAAGGTTTACAAATATATTTGGCAAGTGAGCGATTCTTCGGTTTCCATCACATCTTTTTTATATAATATATATAAAACTGGGACTTCAATAATATCTGATCTAGTACTAGATTTATAAATTATCTACATAGTAGTATATTACCGCTATGTAAATCTCGAATAAATTATTTTATGAATTGATTATTAGGAGATCAGAATACAAATTAAAAATTTCGATATATCTTTCCATTCAGTTCGTGTTATTTAATTAATATTTTCGTGCAAAGAACCCTTTGTTGCATAACCCATAATAAAAATGTAATCCTTAGAAATTTCGTCTACAGAACTCCCTAGTATTTTAAAAACGCAGTTTTTGTAACTAATATCGCAGTATGTTTTAACTTCAATAAAAGAAGTGTAAGAATGTTTTTAAAAATATAACTTATTAAATAAATTAAATAAATATTACATCTTTCATAAACTCCTTATAACTATCTCTTGATCTATTAAATAATCCAATCACAACAATTTCATCGCCTCAAATAGCATAAAATACTGTAGCAAATCTTCCTTGCTCTATCTTCTTAACGTCTTTTAATTCGTTGTAATGAATCTGACGTAGCAAACGTAAGCATTTTTTTAAGTTCATTTTTGATATTACGGTTTTTCAAATATTGATTTATTTGAAACTAAATTGATAGATTATTAGATTCGAAATAAATAGAATGAATAATAGAATAGCAATGTCATAATATTTGCCTAATAATTTATTCTTTCTCTAATCTTTTAAACATTGGTTTATTATTATGTTTGCCATTCTGCCCGGGATTTTGATTCTTTTCAAGGCTTTCTCAAGGGTACGGTGTTCCATAGAGTCGTATGCTTTGCAGATGTCTTGACTTAGAACCTAACATTCCTTGCGTTTCTCTTTTGCTTCATCTAGGACGTTATTGATGGGTTATGCTATGGGAACACGTAGTGTTGCTTATTGTTATGAAAATAAAATGATCGACACAAAACATTTGAATAATCATCAAAAAATCAACAGAGATGGGTGATGCTTGGGGGGAATTTAGTGCTAGTTATTGTTACAATATGAATAATAGTTGAGAAGGATGAACATAAGGCATTCAAGTATTAACAAAAATTAACTGAAATAGATAATGTAAGCGGAATGTTTATGGAATCGAAATTTCACAGAGCTTTCAAATGGCTATGCATCGATACCAAATGTAAGGGTATTTATTTCAATTGTTTGTTAATAATTACTATAGGCTAACATTTTGCCCAATTTTTTATTAATATTATGTTCTTCCTTTAAAATTCATCTACATTATCCATCTTGGATGATTTTTGATATATTCGAACGTCTAATCGTTCAGATTTTTTGATATATTCGAACGTCTAATCGTTCATATTTTTCGACACATATTCCTTTTTGATAACAATAGCCAACCTGAAATATGAATATCTACGTGCTTGACTAATGAATATTATTAATAAAATAACAATAATTCATATAATTTACAACATAGCAAAAAATGAAGTATCAAAATCATGGTTAATATTAGATATAAGAACCAAACATATCGTAATAGGGTTGAAAGTAAAACGGATAAGTTCATCCGTGAAATAATTGTTCGGAAAGTTCTCGGATATTTTGAGTTGAAATGCGAATGGTTCCATTATATTGCGGAGCATGCAAGTTCCACAAAAGATCATTATGAAGAGGCAATTCTTCTACTGTTGTTGTGTTATGATAAATTTCTGTTAATTGTGGTGGTGTGGGAGAAGGAATTTGAGGAGAGATGAGCGTGGCGGTAGGTGTTGGGGTGATGGTTTTGCGAGCAGAAAGATTAGACTCAATAGAGTCGGATTTGCGACGTTTCTTTATATTATTGATTTTGGTTTTTTTGGGACGGTACACGTATTCGGGATACGCTTCCATATGCTCAACTTTTTTTTTATCGGCTAATTTGCGCCAATACAATTTTACCTCCTCATTTTCATTTTTCCATAATCTTGATAGAATTTTAGAGATCATGGCATTGGACTTGTTTGCCCTATGGCAGTCACCTCGGACTGTTTTACCCGTCAACACATTATGTAGCTTTGATGTATTATTGTCCTTTGGTGTGGCCAAAAATTTTCATTTTCGAATTATCACTTTCTTCGCTCATTTCCACCTTGGAATTCACGCTTACATTCCGGATGGGGGTTGTGGTCTTACTCTCATAGGTTCTACAAATGAGGTAAGGATAAAATTGTCATTGATTTTAATGCTGCTGCTTTTTTCAAAAGAAGTGGTATGACCTATCGCAAACGAATAGCTATCTAGACCATTTCAATTAGACTTTTTGACGTCGAACATCAAGAGGCTGCAGGATTTTTTTCTTGCCTCGGAATTCATTTTCACAAATTTGTGAAACGCCTATTAGCGAGAGAAATTAAAGGTAGAGTGTGTAATGGGCACTTTTTTCATATTGAACAAGAAGTGCGGAAGTCGGTCAATCTTTTTATTGAACCTCTTAACAATGGGAACCGAGGACCCATTATGTGTGTGTAAATTTTTCCTAAAACTAAACCCATCAGGCGTCACGGAATTTATCCGAGGTGTGAGTTGCGGCTGAGAATAAATCTATAATTAACATATTCAAAGTGAGAATACAAAACTTTCGTTTATAAAAAATTACTGTGTAATACCTATAAACGGTTTGTTTTTACCAAGAAAGAAAGTACCCTAATTTTCGGCAATTAGTTTCCCCTTGTTAAGGTACCCATCATCACTTTTTACTTATTTATATTAACCTTTTGCCCTAGAATGTAAGAGACCCAAGGGGGCAAACTACGGTAATAATCAAAATGATTAAAAGAATGAATCTAAAAAAAAAAAATCTTGATCATGTTATGTTACACTAAAGTCTGAGTTTCCTATTTTATTTTAAAAAAATTAATATGCATACATTATTACAAATTCCATGTGAAAAATAACAAATAAACTGGTTTTCACTTCATTTCATTTATTCCTTTGATTTATATTATAACTTCTCAATAAATTTAGAATCATATGAAATTATACAAATAAATATATTATATTAATTCAATTTAAATTCAAAATTATAATATAAAAAAAATTTGAAATCAAAATTTTTTTAAAAATAAAAAATTAACTTAAAAAATTTAATTGTTATAAATAAAACCATTTTATATCTTTTAATTATTAAAATTGAAAAAGATTTTTTAAAAAAATACAAAAATAAATATAACTTTTCTTTTATTAATTTCAAAACAAAAAAAAATTGTTGTAATTTTTATTATATAAACAGTTTATTAAATATTACTAATATTAACTGATATTATCTGTCCTTTTATCAAAATACAAACTTATATTTTATAAGTCAGTCTATATCCAGGTTTATATTATATATTTTTACTTGTAAATATAAGATAAGAAAATTAGATTCAATAGTTAAAAACCCTTTTCAATAGTTTTTTTTTTTGTTTTAATGATTTAACTTTCTCTTATAATTGAATCACTAATCTGAATTGTATCAATATTAAATAAAATAATAAAAATCTACTGTTAGCCTGATAAAAGTTATAGGTATAGTCACATACTATGATTATTGTGTCACATACCCTGGAAATGTGGAGCATCAGTAACAATTAGCATAGAAAATGTAGTCACATAAACTTAGATAACTTACCTGATAGTTTATTTTTCCTTAATTGTTTTTTTATATGTATAGATAATATAAATAGCAATGCCAATATATAAGTGAAATAATATTAAAATAAGAATCATAATAATAAAGAAATAATTAGTGAAATTGAAATGGCAAAAAAGGAATATTGTAATTAACAACTTATCTTTTCAAGTATAACCATCTAAAGAAAAATAATCACTGCTATAGAAAATAACCCAGGATTATTAAAAGAACAGCTAGTGTTGGGAAAGAAAAGAAAAACTTGTTAATAAAAAGAAAACCTTAGTCAAATTAATTTCATATACCTTGATTTACCTTTAATAATATTATCTTTGAACTGGTAAGGCAATTGATTCACTATTTTCTAGCCCAACACTACTTAAATTTCAAAATTTGTTAATCCAGTTTAGAATACTAGCTGATTGGATATAATTAATTTAAAAAATCAGTTAATCTAAATAGAAAAATAACAGTATAGAGTCTATTATATCAATTGAAATTATAAACTTTTATAAAAATTAAACCAGAAGCTTTGTTTTATATAATTTTTTTTGCTTAATTTATTTTTAATTTACAATTGTCAAAAAACTAAAGGTTTTATATTAATATAATCTAATTTTATTTTAATCAAGATTTAAATATTTGAATATTCCATATTGTTGGCAGAAAATCTGCTTGATTAAGACCTGGCAACATAATTCTTGTTCATATAACTTATCAAAGTAGTGATAACATTCTAGAAAATAGTCATGTATCATTATAAAAGCTTAGATAGTTTATTTTATAGTTTGATAATCTATAAGTCATAGTATCATAGTTTTATAATATATTAGTTAGTAATAGAGATAGTAATATAAATAGAAGTGGAAAAGTACAGAAATGAGGAGAACAATCTTAATAAAGAGAAAAACAATAAGACTATTAAAAAGAGTTGCTTCACTAATAAAGAAACTTTTAATTAAGAAACTTGCCTTTTTAGTACTCACCAAGTTAGGAAAAGATAATCGGGTTTTACTAAAGAGAATTGTGGAAGGATTATCGAGAGGACAAATGGCGATGAAAAAAAAAGAACAATAATTAATGAAAAAGAGAAGAAAGCGATTGACAAAGTCTTATTTACTTCTTTCAAGACAAGAAGATATAGTCCAACCTTGACGTACAACAAGTTCTTGCTGCCACTAGCAACAGGCTCACCAATTTAACGTCAACAATATATAAGAAAACTAATTAATCAATATACAAATAAATTTTTATATGTTTTATTTCTATGGATATTGAACTAAAAACATATTTGAAAAATAAATTTTATAAACTCTTTCTGCTAATTCTTTTGCCAACCCAAAAAACAGACATTCTCAAAAGATTTTTTGTCTTTTGATAATAAAGTCTATACACATTTCTTAAAAACAATACTGGTTTTAATCAACTGAGCGAGCAGAAGCTACCATTTGTTTTATTTTTTTTTTCAAAACACTTTTCTTGTTTATTTTTGCAACCAAATACAAAAAACTCACCTAAAAGGTCTATGGCAAAAACACATTTATAAAAAGAAAATTGACAAGAAAAAACATTCTCCAAAGACTCTCAAAAGATTCAAGAATCTAAAGAAACAAGAATAAAAAAGTCTCCAGTTTTCCATTATCTTTTTGACTTCCTACCTCTTTTTTCTCAAGTGTGTTTTCTTTTTTCTGGTTTTTCTGATGAATTTTGCCTATCTCAGTTTGACCCTGAATTTTTTGGTCACAGCAGATCTTCTGAAAAATGATTGGTCAAGGTTACAGATTTGTTAATGACATCAGCCATAGAAAAAGTAAACAAAACATATACTCCTCACATGTTCTCAGTCGCACAACACCAAACCAATGATGTGATTGGTTCCTGAAAGAGTTGGACAGCTTCAAGTTAAAGTTGTGAGAAGAAGAGAAACAACACCTTTTTGTTCTTATCCTTTTATTTTTTTTTTCTTTCCTATTTTTTCTTGAGAACAGGAAGTAGTAACAAGGTCTAGGTCTTATTCCAATCTGATAATAAGTTGAAGTACCGATATCCATTTCGAAAATGATTGGAGAAAGAGATCTTGAAACTATTCACTGGTTAAGTAAAGCTATAATTTCAGAAAACATGGCTTAGGAGAGAAATCAACAATAGAAAACCAATATTCTTTTTGGTTAGAAGTCTTCAAGTATAAAGTTTCAAGAAATACTCTTCAGGAAGTGCCCTTAAACATTTTTGAATATCAATTACTTTATTGAAAATTAAATAGTTTAACTGGCCACAGATGGTAAGAAATAGGAATCCATAAGGGGCTTTGGTTTTAAGTTCACTGAGATAACCTTTTCAATAATAATTAGAATCGACAATAACTTTTTTTTTCTTTTCTCTTTGTCAAAAAATTCCTTTTTTATTTCTTTTTCCCCTGTGTAGTTTCTACAAGAGGAGTAACACAATTTGAATTTATAGTTGTGACTGTGGAGGTGATCTGCAGGTACTAATCCTATTAGAAGTTTGGGATCTTAATTACATCCTTTAGAGGAACAATATATTACTCCCATAAATCACATCTAGAGGCTTCAGCTAAAGACGGGTGAGTTGTATCAGAAAAATTTGTACTTTGTATATATTCCCATGCATGTAATGATTCTTTATGATTTAATAAATATATGACACCAACTTGATTGCAGAATTAAAAAAAAAAAATAAAACCA